GGCCCCGAGGAGAGGCAGGCTTTCAGGCTTCCTCAGGGCCCCCTGAAACGGGAATTGCGCCTAAGTCTTTATTAAAAATATAACGTGTTAGCACCTACTCAGCCTTGAGTTGAGAGCTGCATATGGTGAGCTGAATTCGCTCCTGTCCCTGCGTGTCCCATATTTCACAGGCAATCTGGCGCGTTTCCACTGGATGCAAAGTTAAAGGTACTCTTGGAGAGTGAACAAATCCGGTGTCTCGTCTCTTCTAATGCCGCAGAATGAGGATCTTTTTGAATGCAAAGCTCAAGATTTTAGCCAGGATGACTGGCAGAAAGATACCTGCATGGTTGCTCCTGGGAAAAAAATTGATCATGGCTGACTGAGCTGCTGCTGCTGTTGTCAAAACGGAGTAAATGCTTGCAACTGAACGAGTAAAAAGCTCCAAACTTGCTCCCTGGATTTCCTGTAGCTCCCCATAAACCTCACAGATACTTTTTCCAGAGTAGCACCAAAACCAGGGGTGCTTCCTCATGTCAGACCAGGTTTGGAGATGGCTGGTTGAGGAGCAAAAGTTTCTTGGGCTCCAGCTGGGTATCAGTTTTCCCTCTTTGCTTTCATGCATCGGTCTCTCTCCTGGGCAGACCTGTGGTGCTCTGGCCTTGAGCTGGAGCGTTCAGGTGTTTGCCTGTCAGGGTGCTGTGGGTTTCAGGCCCTTGTGTGTCATGATAACGGGAGCTCAGAGGTTGCCTCTGCCTCTTTTCAGCAACATATCAAGAATGTCAGGCTCAGTACAATGTCCTCCTGGGAGGGCACTGAACTTGCTGTCAGTGCTACCAGGCAAGCTCCAAATTGCTTTAAACCCATGGCAGGAGGCCAGGCAAGGAGGTGAGCTCTTGGCAGAGGCTCTGCAGTGTTGCAGCAAGAGAGGGCTTTTTGCTTAGGTCCCTTGTCAGAGCGAGATGAAAAGGCCTGGCTTTCTGGGGCTGCTGCTACATGAGACGGCACAACTGCGAGCTCCAGGCAATCCCAAACGTCATGCCCAGGTTGGCCCCTCATAGATGCCTCCTCCCAGGATGAGGGGCAGGTCTTGGTGCAGCTCGCAGGGTCTGGAGACCCTGGCTGGAGCCAACGCACCCAAAGATCACTATTGCCCCGCTGGCCTCCAGTGAGCTCAAAGTAGGAGGTGGGACACCAACCTGAGCCCCTGTGGCAGGCCCTGCTCAGGGTGGCCCAGCTCCAGCTTCACAGCTC